AAACCTATAAAATTCAGGTACATATTGCTTTAAACTCTGGTAAAGCCTATCACAGTATGATAAATTAGGCTATCAACAATAACAATGTAGGTGAGCATTAATGAATATGAAGTCTATTAATAAAATCATGTCTGATAGAATAGCTTTTTGGGGGACCAGCAAATGGTGTGATGGTTACATCAATGAACTCCCATGTGGTCAACCGTAGTTTCAGTCCTGGACCTGGCAGCTTAAAACTCACGCCAGGCACATTTGCGTGCATGCCCAAAATCCTGAGAGGAGAATGGAAGAGAAGAGACTGCAGCATGGTCATCCCTCCTGGAGGATTTCTCACTTTCTGCCTCTGTCTCTCTGGCGAGCACACGTGGCCTGTAGCAAAAATCTCTCTTCAAAACAAACAAGAAAAAGAATTGCTTTTTGCCTTTTGGTTTAACTAAAACTCTACCACAGGTTTAATTAGCTACTAAAGGAAGCAGAAAGGGTTGGAAACAAACATAGTAATCTTAGCCAGATTTCTGGGTTTCAAAGCCCAGTTCAACTTGACACATAATAGGTGCTCAATAAATAATTCGTCTTCCTAAAATACTGCGAAAAGTACATCAGAGTTAACATTGGTTCAGAGAAGACACTGCCATCTAGTGAAAAACCAGGCTCATTACCTGGGATTATCAAATAATTCTGAGACTCTTTCCAAATTAAAACTTAAACCTATTCAAAGTAAAATACCATATGCTCATCCATTATGTGTTAGAATTCACACTTCATAGAGAAGCAGAGAGAAAATGGTAATGTGGGAGAAAAACGTTTGATGATTAGCCATTCAAAACTTGATATTTCAGGGAATCAGCAGTTAGAGTAATGGCTATGTTGCTGGACTCCCAAGTAGTCAACCGTGGTTCGCGGCCCAGACCCGGTAGCTTAAAACTCACGCCAGGTGCGTGTGTGTGCGTGCCCAAGATCCCAAGAGGAGAATGGAGGAGATGGGATTGTGGCGTGACCATCCTCCCTGGGGGGTGATTTCTAGCTTTCTGTCTCTATGTCTCTCTCTGTCTGTCTGGCGAGCGCACGCACCCTATAGCAAAAGCCTCTC